GTACTGTTTATTAATGCATATTACTTAAAATTCAAGATTATAAGTAAATTATGCGCAAATACAACTTATTAAAGCTTCATGTTTGAATTAATGTAACAAACTGCAAATAAACATAATTAAATAGATGATAAATATCTCATTTTAAATATAAAAAGTCAAAAATATAATGAGAATAGTCAACTTTTAACAAAATACTTAATTATTATCTTAATAAAAATATTATATTATCAAACCAAATAAAAAAATGAATTAAAGAAATACACAAAAAGTAGAGAAATTTTTAATAGTTAATTTGACATTAATATCAATATTTTTTTTCAATTTTTTATGATATCTTCATATTTATGTTTTATTCAAAAATAAAACATCACGTTTTCTCAAAATCACATAAAATCGTATTATAACATCGACTGAGACAAAAAAAAAATATTAAAATTAAGATGTATTTTGTTGTATCGTGCGATTACCCTTTTAGTTATATATAATATTATAAAAATTAAGCTTTAGAGATTCTTTACACCTCTACCATAAGAAGATACATAATTTGAATTGTGCCTGTGGGTCCCACTATTTTGGAAAAAAAAACTTAACAAAGAAAATTCAGCCAAAGTTGGTCTTTACGTGGGTCCCACTTTTCTAGAAAAATGCCCCCAATGGAACTGTATGGTCTTATTATCTTCTCATGTCTTGTTAGAGTCTTAATCAGAACATTATTTCTGAATTACTTTTATCACGTCTGAATCACTTCAACAAATTAAAATTTTAACATAAAGTTTTATGATATTACACATAAAAAGAATCTTGTTTGTGAGTTCTATATATTATTCAACACCAATAATATGGATGTAAAATAGAACTAATAAAATACCATTTCACATCGTATTCATACGAAAATTCACATCGTATTAATCACAAGTGTCTGAAAATCTTAGTTTCAAATCCAAAAAGATTCAAAAATTGACCATGAAGGTTCAAATGTGGTGACTTCGAGCTACCCACAAAACAGGTAATCGTCCTGAAATTAGTCAGCTGACATAGCAGGTTAAAGAAAAAAAACTCGTAAGCAGTAGATGAGTTGTAAGAACTCTTTCCAATTATAGTGTGGAGTTTTTGTTCATAAAAACATTAATTTTTGTAAATTAAACTAGTTAGGGTATAGATAGAGTTGAATGGTTACCTTCCATGTACTTATATATGGATGTTCCACAGCTTCAAGAGTAATACTCTGCATCTCTCAACACACTATGAATCCTACTGCACATGAACAATCACCACCAAACTTGAAACCTAGATTCGAATCACACCCATAAACACTTTGAATTACACAACCAAACTGAATCAACACCCCCAAGATGCAAAGAAACTCACACGCAGTTAGCGCCGAGCAGCAACCGATCAAGTTTCTCGTGTTCAGCGATGGAGGGATTGTACAGAAACCATGGTTGGTGTTGGTGTTGGTGGTGGTGGTGGTGGTGTGGTTGTGCCAAAAACGATCAAGGAATCTGTTGGAGAAAGTTGCAGGTATAATTTGGAGGGTTTAGAAGGAAAAGAATGAAGTTAAATATGAGGATGGTCGGGATACGTAGAAATGGGCAACGGGTAAGTAAAGAATTGATGTGGGGTTAAGTCTGCTTGCTGGTTCAACTGCTAGGGTATGGAATGATAAGAAATGGCAAGAGGACTGAGTCAACCATCCAAAAGTCTTGTAGAGTTTACACGTTCCTTTCTCTTTATTTTTTACACTGCTTCATGTACATGCTTGACTTTGAATTCTTTCTACTCCACTCGTCCCAACATCAAAATCTATGGTGATTTAGAGGTCTGGATTGAAACTCCGGATTAACCATGTCTTATTTTTGGTTTTTTATTCCGTTGCGATACTAATTATATACCCGTACAATGTAGTCATGGTGTGAATTTTGAATAGATGTAAGCAAGAATAAAGAGTTGAAATAGGTTTTTGACCAAATAGAATATATATATATATATAGAGAGAGAGAGAGAAGCGATCAAACGAAAACCGTCATCATTTGTGTAAACAATGCAAACCACCCTCATCCGTCGATTTCATTGTTTAATCTTATGAAATTTTTCTATAAAATTGTTTAATTTTGTAAAATTGTTTTATATAATACTTTTTTTTGATGAAGTTGTTTCATATATGATTATGAAATTGTTTCATATAATACTTAATGAAATTTTAATGAAATTCTTTCATGTATTTCTCTAAAATTAAAATAATGAAGATGATAATATCTATGATTAACACCCTCCACAATAAAAATGATTAATCAACCTCTTATAATTACAAAAAAATGAACAAAATGAAAAATTATGATTGGTTGAATGAAGTTTGTACGGTTTATACAAATTGAGTGGTTTTCATTTGATCGCTTCCCTCTCTCTCTCTCTCTCTCTCTCTCTCTATATATATATATATATATATATATATATATATATATGTTGGGTTGGGTTCACGTGAGACCAAGTTTTTTTCGTGAGACACGTAAGACCAATTTATGTGCATTGATCAACTTTATAAGCTAATGATCTAATAGTCTAAAGTTGTACGGTAGCAATCTTGTGATCATTGAGAAGTCTCGTGGCAATTTTGTGATTATGAATGTTCAGATTGTAGATCTAATTCAAAGGTTGAAAATTAGTCTTACGGGTCTCACGAAAAACCCTTGGTATCAAGTGAACCCAACCCTATATATGTTTATCTATTTTACATTTTTATGTTACAAAGAAAATTAATTAAGGTTGTGAAAGATATGTTTACTTGTATGAAAATGATTAGTATAATAATCTTGTTATGGGAATCTTTCTTGTAGTCATTGGTTCTATTTTTTTCCAATACTCTTGAGACTAATTGAGGTGCAAGCAAGTAGAGCAGCTAGACACCATGGTTAAAAATGATAGTGGCTAATGTTCAAGTTTTTTAATGGCAAATATAATACAAGTTGAGAACCGTAAATATGGTTGCTACTATGAGTTTGAAGCTAAAGTATGTGGTTCATCAGTAGAAGAATTTTTTTTCAAATGATGGCATCGCATCTTAGGATGAGAATATGCCAAAAAAAAAGTGTTTTTCAATAAATATGGTTGTTACTATGATTTGGTACAACTTATTCATACTTTTTAAATCTTAAGTATGAATATGGTTGCTTTTATGAACATCCTTATGTCAATTCATGTTTAAAAGACCGTTCATGAGTGAACAAATATTCATGATTTATATATATTGTTCATGGTTTTTGATAAATGTATTCATGGTCCATCAATAAATATATTACTTTTAATAGAGATAGTGAGCTATCGTTCATCGGTGAACACCTCAATGAACACTATTGTGATTAAAGTCCATACTAAACATTAATCATTACGTCAACAGTCAACAAATGATTTTATTATGCAAGTTTAGTTAGGCACAATTTACAACTATGAACATATTATGGTTCACTCATGAACACATACATTATTTCATTATATTGTTATGAAACATGTTTTTATGAATTTCCTTAGTTGTAACGGTCAATTAAATATGTTTCAATAAAGACCAAAAAGAAAATTGGCTAAATTCATGGAACATGATTTTTTTTTGTAACAGTCAATTAAATATGTTTCAATCAAGACAAAAAAAATATCTAACATACCCTCAACATTAACCACATAGAGAGATATGAACATTAAGTATAAAGGCCTTTTGATTGGTCTATAAACACCTATGAACACCATATGGTTATGAACACCTATGAAGACCATATGGTTAACAAAATATCTTGAATACCTATGAACACCATATGGTTACAAACACAACCTTATGAGCGTTTTATGGTTATGAACACATTTTTATAAACATATATGAGCATATTGTTATGAATACCTTATGGTTATGAACACATTCTTATGAAAACCTAAACATCATTAAATACCATAAAAAAAACTTACATATAAAAAATTGTAACATCTCATTAAATACCATAAAAGTAACTATACATAGAAATTACCTATTTACTCTTTATCATTAAATCAAAAATTTGAAGTAACATATACTAAAGAATGAATCTTATTGGTCCAATAAGTTCACAAAGTTAACACCATATTTTTTGTTAACAAAAGATCTTACCCCTAATTATATAGAAGGTACGTGATATATGTATAGAGAATAGATAGAAAATGTATGTACATGAATAGGCTAAGTGATGTTGTAATTTGTAGCTATCTAATGTATATCTATACTATATTATAAAACATTTGATAAAAACTCTTAAAAAACCAATTTTTATGCATGAAATACTGTTTATTGATGTATATTACTTAAAGTTCAGGATTACAAATAAATTGTGCATAAATGCAACTTATTAAACCTTCATTTTTGAATTCGTGTAACAAATTGCAGATAGACATAATTATATACATGATAAACATCATATTTTTAATATAAAAAATCTAAAATATAATTAGGATAATCGTTGAGTTCTAATAGAATACTTATTATTATCTATATAAAAAATTATATTATTAAACTAAAAATAAATTGATTCATTATTATAGCTAAATTAAATTATAATAAAATATTGAATCAAAAAATTACCCAAAAAACAAGAACTTTTTTAAATAGTTAATTTGATACTAATATCGATATTATTTTTCAAAATTTTAATTATAATATCTTCAAATTTATATTTTATTCAAAAATAAAAACATTATCGTTTTCTCAAAACCATATACAACTATATTATATCAATAGACAAAGAATCAAAGAAAACAATAAAATCGAGATGTATCTCGCTGCAATGTGCGAATACCCTTCTAGTATTAATAAGAATTCAACAATCATATTAAATCCAATAAATAAAACGATATCGGGTTCATCGGGTTGGATTGGGTTAGGTTCAAATAAAAGTAATCCAATATCAACCCAATACCTACGGTTTAAAGATTTTATAACTCGATTAGACATCGGGTTGGTTCGGGTTAATTTATTCACGTTGAATTGGGTTGGGTTGGTCGGGTTTTTGAGCAGCCCTAGTACCAACTTTTTCAACCAATCAAGATCAATACCAACTATTTTTTTCATGCAGGACTTGTACAATAGATGCCAATCTTTGTAAGCAGAAATTCGAATACATAAACATCCAAGTCTAACATATTTCAACATCCAGATCTTGCAATAAAGTCTACTGGTCTAGCATTTTAAAAATTAAGAGGCAGACAAATGGTCGACATACAACTGGAACATATTGGGTTGGTTTGGTGTTAATAAGATCCAAAATAACAATCATAAACTTATCCACACTCAAAATTTGTGCAATGTTTTGTATGATAATAAAATTTAAATAATCAAAACCGTCCAAAAAGTTTAAAGGAGGCAACACCATGCATCTCTATGAACTTTTGTTTTCAAATATTACATGGGCACGCTCTATAAGTTCTAAAGACAACTCTTATACATGGAAGTCTCATAATGCAACATTGAGCATACCATTTGTGACCTAGATTCAATTTTTTTTCTCACATATTTTTTTCGAAATTTGAAGGTCTTCGC